AAATCATTCCCCATCATTGAAGTGCTGACAATCTATACTCACATGCATACACCAGCCGCATGTAGGGATCCTCACATTCATCTGCTTGATCCAAAAGGTACGAATATTCCATTAACTGCTATAAGTATTGCATAGTTAGTACTAGTAGAGGTGATCCAAATGGCCAGATATTAGGGTAGTAGCATATGCAAAGAGATGCACAAACCTCTGCCATTTTTTGAAGCATTGTCATTGGCTCAAATATAAGGACAGGTAGTGTCACCATTGACGTGACATCAGAACCAATATATTTTTGCATCATCTTCCAATAACTATCACGTTCCTTTGAGAAAGAGAAAGATCAATCAATATATATCACATAAAGAGTTAATATAATCAATGGTCACTGAACTTCACTGTAGGTTACTATTTGTTCGCTGAACTTTGCTATAGACAACTACTTGCTCACTGAAATTTAAAATGTTACTTATTACTCACTCAAATTTGTACAAAGTTAACCCATCAATCATCCATATTATTTCCACAAGTGTTACATATTGCAAAATTTAGTAAGCAACAAGTAACTTTATTCAAATTTAGGTGAGCAATTAGTAACCTTTTAAATTTGATGAATAAGTAATAACCTATAGCAAAGTTGAGTGAGCAACGAGTAATTTTTTAAAGATCGGTGAATAAGTAGTAATCTATAATAAAATTCAGTAACCATTCATTAAATTATCTCATGACAGAAATAATTAATTCGTATGTCAAAACAACACAGAGAATCATCAATTAGGCCTACATAAGAAAATTTGTATAAAATCGATACGGGAACACATTCATGTCTATAGACTTTGAGATCCCACCAGGCCGAAGGGAAAGACCATTGGGGTACTTGGGTAGACTGAAGAGAGTGGTCCCAATATGGCCCTTTTGTCTTTCATTTGACTTCCATCATCTAACCAGTGACTTCTATGTGATTTTGTCATTTACATAATTACATTCATATTTGTATGGTTTCCAGCATCATTCAAACACTTTAACAGCAATATGCCCCTTCGTCTTACATTAGAAAATTTGTATAAAATCGATAAGGGAACACGTTCATGCATATAGACTTTGAGATCCCACCAGGATAGAAGGGAAAGACCATTGGAGTACTCAGGGTAGACCGAAGAGAGACGTCCCAATATGCCCGTTTTGTCTTTCATTTGACTTCCATCATCTAACAAGTGACTTCTACGTGGTTTTTTCATTTACATAATTACATTCATATTTGTATAGTTTCCAGCATCATTCAAACACTCTAACAGCATTACAGCAATATGCCCCTTTGTCTTTCATTTGACTTCCATCATCTAACAAGTGACTTCTACATGGTTTTGTCATTTACAATTTTACATAATTACATTTATATTTGCACAGTTTTCAGTGTTATCCAAGAGATAATTTATTTCTTACGACTCAAATAGATACAGTGCTCTCTAATTAATGCATATTATCACTTCAAACAAACTTCATCTACAGAGACCACCATTGTTAAACCTTATTGCAAAGAAAATTTATATGGATGCTTAGAAAACTCGATAACCAGAATAACAACCATCAAACTAATGAATAGATTACTTCCAAAGAGTAAGATTTCAGGCTGCTTCAACTTTTCGAGACTGCTTTTAAATATAACACATATACAGATTATTCTTCCCAAATGCATCCCTTTCCAGTATGCCAGAAAAATCATGAACATTACTGGTTCAAGAATGAGGCCTCGCAATTATCTAAAAGAAAGAGTGTACAGTAACAAGACACCACCCACCTCCTGTTGCCATCTTCCTCTCTGAGCTTCCTCTTCAGCATCTTCCTTGCCACCTTCTGGATTTATAACTTCTACCCCTTCATAACCAAGCAATCTAGTTGTAAGGAGAAAATGTATATGTTAATGAGTCTTAACCTGTGACATTATGATGTCAGGAAAGTAACACTAATTCATCTAGAGTGAGCCTGGCGAATAAAAGCAGTACATGTAGCATTTTTTAGACATTGATGAGGAAACAAGAATAAAAAGCTAGCCAAAAATTATTTGTATGCAGAGTATTTGGTAGTGTTGGTCCTGTTGAAAGGAGGTGATTTTTAAACTGAAAAAATAAAGCAAATAAATGCTTAGCACACTAAAGGCCTTCATTTTTCATATTCATGGGAAATCAATTTGAACTAGTAAATGTCAAAAAGTAAAAATACATATTAAAGATAAAGAAAAAATGCCAAATCAAACTTAGAAATAACATTTGACTATCCTATCGTTAGGATAGTCAAATATAGCTAAGTGCCTATTGGTTGACAATTTCCTCGAGTCAATGCAGCCAATTAGTGTGCACAGAAACTCATGTAAAAAGCCATGAATTATCTCGAGATCATGGTTTAAAAAAACCCATCCGAAACCCGCATTAAGGCCCACTTAAAAGTGATTCATGCATAAAATGCCTTAAGACACGGATTGTGAGGTAGTTTTTGGAGGTGTATGCTCAGCTGTATCAAGACATGCCTCACAGCATCGCCTCAAGGTTTGTGCCAGAAAACACAGAAGTTCTGATTGACCAAGTTTGAGAATAGCCCATTGTCCACTAAGAATACTCCACCCCTACAAACTAAAATAATAATATAAATTTTTCTTTCAATTGTTTACACATTTTAAATTATTATATTATGAATTTTGAAGATTGTTTATAATTTATTATGAGCTTATTTTGCATTTTAATAATTTTTTGACATTTTTTTGTTTACGATGAGGCTTACATCTTGCCTCATGAATGAAAAAGCCTCAATACCCTGTTAAACATTTTTTCAACATTGCTCGAGGTATGACCCGCATATTGCAAATGAACCCCAGACACTAACGAACAGTTGATTTATGTACTAAAAAGCTCATCTATGGATAGCTTTTTGTAAAGGCAGCCAATCTTGAACAAAAAAATTGAGATCTTTGACTGAAAGAACTAAGCTAATGATGGTCTGGCTAGCTTGAAAGTTTTCATAGACGAGCACACTAAATAATCTTCCTTTTTTCATTTTGCAATAAATTATTTTATAGTAAAAATAATAATAATAATAATAA